ACGACAAAGATTTTATTGGATAGGTATGAGGCGAGATGTGGAAGAATGGTGCCGGACATGCAGTACATGTAGTGCAAAAAGGGGACCCAAGCATAATGGACGCCCTTCTTATCAAGAGTTGCCTGAGAATGTGTCTGAGTTTGTGAAAGTGTTATCGGAAAGGATGGATGATATTCACCATCAAGTGCGTTCAAACTTGAAAACGTCTGCTGATTCGATGAAGTTAAACTTATGATAAGAGATCTACTGAAATCAGCTTTGAACCAGGAGACAAGGTGTGGTTGTATAATCCCAGGAAGACCAAAGGGAAGTCTCCTAAGTTGTCTTCTCCATGGGAAGGCCCATATGACATAGTGGATCGTCTCTCAGACGTGACTTTCTGGGTAAAATGTGGTCGGCGAGGTAAACCAAAAGTGGTGCATGCCAACAGGCTTTGGCGTTATCACGGTCCAGGACATTTCAGTTGGGACGAAGTGGAACAAAGGAACAAATGACGCTGCTGAAGAAGTGTCACCTGAAAAAGCCATTGTCGAAGAAGAAACTCTACTCAGTTTGAGAAGGGACACGGTGAAGCTCTTGATGAAGTTACTACCACTGATGTGACTGTTATCGACGATAGGACATTTCCTGATAAAGCAGATGAACCCCACGTGAAGCAGAAGCCAACGAGACAGAGACCAGTACGGAAGAAAATACGTCCCGTAAAATTAAGAGACTTTGTTAAAATGTAATTTTGTGTTTGTAATTCTGTACATTTAATTAAGTTATTGTTAATTGTTATTGGTTTATTGTAAGTGGCTATTGTTCGTGACGAACAATACTAAGGAGGGGCAGTGTTGCTTCAGCGAGGTCACGTGACTAGTATCACGCCACCTCTTTCTAGAAATATCCTGTTCCTTCATGAATGCCCTAGCATTTACTAGACATGTGTTAGTCTTATATATATATAAGACGGTCACAACGTGACGGGACAACAGAGGTAATGAGTAATTGAATGTATGCGGACAGAATATTGTTGGCGACTTGAGACGTGAGTTATAGCGTTTGTTATAGAGCGACTGTTGAAATTAAGTGTATCGTAAAGTTGTATTCGGAAATAATAGACCAGTTTTATTTAAAAAAGGACTTGTGTCGCTAAAGTTTCGTCGGAACGAATTTACGGAAAATTAATTAACGAACGGAGACGTAACAATATTATTTCTTGGATTATTTAAAACCTCATTTTCTTGTTGTAAAAAAAGACTTTTTTTTTGGTTTGTTTGTTTTTTTGTCTCAGTCGAAGAATGAGACATTTTACTAACCACTACAGCTATCACTCAGACTAACTGACAAAAATGAACTGCAGGAAATGTGAAAGCAATTGTAAAACTAACTACATAGTTATGATAAAGACAGATCTATTATAAAAGTTAAAACCTACAAAAGTTCTGTATCAGCTAGTTTGAAATATGAATTATATATCTATATGATAAACAGAATCTGATTTTTTTTCCTGGTAACGAATATTCAAAAGAAACGATCCCGTTAAAGAGCCATCTGGTAGCTCGTTTCTATTTTCCTTATTACTTTTGATAACTAGTTTAAAGTCCCCCGGTAAGTTATGGATTCACAACGAAAAAACCCAGGGTTCAATTACCTGTGGTAGACACAGCAGATAGAGCCCTATGTGACTAGTGTAAACTAATGAACTACACTAGTCCACTTTTTTCCATCTTCTGGTCTGCAGTGTAAACTAATGAAATATATTAGTCCAATTTTTTCCATCTTCTGGTCTGCAGTATAAACTGATGAACTATACTAGTCCATTTTTTCCATCTTCTGGTCTGCAGTGTAAACTGATGAACTATACTAGTCCATTTTTTTCCATCTTCTGGTCTGCAATATAAACTAATGAACTATACTAGTCCATTTTTTCCATCTTCTGGTCTGCAATATAAACTGATGAACTATACTAGTCCACTTTTTCCATCTTCTGGTCTGCAGTATAAACTGATGAACTATACTAGTCCATTTTCTCCATCTTCTGGTCTGCAGTATAAGCTAATGAACTACACTAGTCCATTTTCTCCATCATCTGGTCTGCAGTATAAGCTAATGAACTATACTGGGCCACTTTTTGGTCCACTCTGATTACGACAGTAAGATTTCAATATATTCCGCTTTACTTGTTTATTTTTTCTAGGTTAGATTGTAATATCGTATCCTGTATTATCTGTAAATTCTCTGACAAAACATTAAATGTGCTAAACACGGATTACAACCTACTCAGTTGCAGTTTAATGAAAATGTTTTTATTTTTTGTCATAATTATACTGTTATTCTAATGGTAAAAATAAAAACACATATTATAAATACAACGACCAGAATAAAATAAACAAAGTATATCCTTTAATCCACCATAGCTGTAAAACAGCTAATTACGTTTTACAAGTGAATAAAAGAACAAAGTATATCCTTTAATCCACCATAGCTGTAAAACAGCTAATTACATTTTACAAGTGAATAAATGAACAAAGTATATCCTTTAATCCACCATAGCTGTAAAACAGCTAATTACGTTTTACAAGTGAATAAAAGAACAAAGTATATCTTTTAATCCACCATAGCTGTAAAACACCTAATTACGTTTTACAAAGTAAGGGTCTTATCACTCTGGTAGAGGTAAGTTTTACTTGAAGTCTTCGTGTTTGGAGTTTTGTGAGGAGGCCACACGCTCTTCCCCTTGAGTATTATTTTTATTTAAGCATTTAATCACGATGTATGCTTTCACCACGATGCCTCAAAATATTATTTACAACAAACGCAATTAAGACAGAGAAATAGCACGCAGAATTTTTATTCGATAGTTTTAACACATTAAGTCACATTTGCTTTTTAAAAATACAACATTCGATCCTTAAAGTAACATACATACGCGGGTTGTATTCACAATGCTTGATAATGCCTCATATATGCATGGGTTGTACTCGCAATGTTTTGGGAATATCTCATTCTATTCATTTATGAAGATATCCTAATAAAAACAGACAATCTGACAGAAAAAAAAGGCTAAACTTTCTTCTAGTGTAACTAGTTTATGCAATAATAAACAAATGGTAAAATTTCAGTTTCGATTGAAATTACTTTAAAAAAAGTAGCAGGTGAGCTCACTATTAAGAAAAGTTTATTAATTAGCTTAGATCTACCCCAAACTTTTTATGAGTTTTGGTTAGTTTGGTACTAAAACTGTAATGTTACATAAGAAAAAGTTTTAATTCTGGAAAATAAAACGTTAAGACAATTTTTTAAAATGATATAATAAAGCATTCATATTGAAATGTTGATGATCATAAAATCATTTTGAAACACTATAGCTTTAATACTACACTAATCAAAACCATTAAGAAATTTACATTGAAATATCAACACTTATTTATTATTACATTTCAAAAATATCTCCACCAGAAAAAAAGCTTAGCCTTTTTTGTTTTTGCTGTAAGAGTGATTTGGTGTGGTATATTTTGAATTTCGCGCAAAGCTACACGAGGGCTATCTGTGCTAGTCCTTCCTAATTTAGTAGTGATAGACTAGAAGAAAGGCAGCTAGTCAACACCACCCACCGCCAACTTTTGGGCTATTCTTTTACCGACGAATAGTGGGATTGACTGTCACAATATAACGCCCGGTAGCTTAAAGGGTGAGCATGTTCGGTGACGGGGATTCGAATTCGTGACCCTCAGATTGCGAGTCGGTGTTGTAAGATTTCGCATTTTTATTGAGAAATCTAGATATCTTCCTAAATGAATGAAATATTCCAAGAACATTACGAATACCCACCACCTCTGGGCAGGTGTATGTAGCACCATCTTACGCGCTTCATTTAAATTTTTATCAGTCTCGTAAACTGGGTGGCAGGTTGTTACTCAGCCCAAAAGTTGATACTTTAACACTTTCGAATTGGTGAAATTCAAAATAATGAGAAAAACGTATTTTCCAAATGGAATTGACCGGGTTTTGTTCATATAATACAAAGTCTACGTAATAATTAGATATGTTGGTTCTTGACACTTTGCTAAGCCTAGCAACTAAGTAGCCATTTAAGTTTGTTTGTAGTTAAGCAGAAAATTACACAATGGGCTATCTGTG